AGAACATTTCATCCCAAAGCAGCAGAATACACATTCTTCTCAAGTCCACATGAAACATTCTCAAAAACAGATCACATGTAAGGGCAGAAAGCAAATCTCTACAAGTTCAAGAAGATTGAAATCATATCAAGCATCTTCTCGGATCACAATGCCATGAAACTAGAAATCAACCACTATAAAAAAACTCAAAAATATTCAAACACATGGAGGCTAAATAGTATGTTATTAAACAATGAATGGATTACCAAGGGGATCAAGGAAGAAATAAAAAGCTTCCTGGAAAAAAATGAAAATGAACCGACAACAACTGAAAATCTATGGGACACAGTGAAAGCAGTCCTGAGGGGAAACTTCATAGCATTACAGGTATACCTCAAGAAACAAGAAAAAGCTCTACTAAACCATCTCACACGACAACTAAAAGAATTAGAGAACAGCAAAAAAAAGTCTTGAGTAACTATAGGAAGGAAATAATAAAGATCAGAGCAGAAATTCATGACATAGAGACTAAAAAAAAATACAAAAGATCAATGAAACCAAGAGCTTGTTCTTTGAAAAGATAAATAAGATCGATGAACCTTTAGCCAGACTCAACAAGAAACAAAGAGAGAGGACCCAAATAAATAAAATCAGAAATGAAAGTGGTCATATAACAACTGACCCAAGAGAAATACAAAGAATTGTAAGAAAATACTATGAGCAACTATATGCCAACAAACTAGACAACCTGGGTAAAATGGACAAATTCCTAGAAACATACAACCTTCCAAAGCTGAATCAGGAAGAATCAGAAAATCTGAATAGGCCAATAACAGCTAATGAAATTGAAGCAGTAATCAAAAAACTGCCAGCAAACAAAAGTCCTGGATCAGATGGATTTACAGGTGAATTTTACCAAACATTCAAAGAAGAATTAATACTGATTCTACTCAAACTATTCCAGAAAATTCAAGAGGAGGGAAAACTCCCAAGCTCTTTTTGGGGCTAGCATCATTCTAATCCCAAATCCAGATAAAGACACTAAAAAGAAAGAGNAATTCAAGAGGAGGGAAAACTCCCAAGCTCTTTTTGGGGCTAGCATCATTCTAATCCCAAATCCAGATAAAGACACTAGAAAGAAAGAGAATTACAGGCCAAAATTCCCGATGAACATAGATGCTAAAATCCTCAACAAAATACTAGCAAACTGGATCCAGCAATACATTAAAAAGATCAAACACCATGACCAAGTGGGATTTATTCCAGGAATGCAAGGCTGGTATAATATCCACAAATCAATAAATGTGACACATCACATAAACAAAATGAAGGAGAAAAATCATATGATCATATCAATAGATGCAGAAAAAAAATTTCAACAAAATCCAGCACCCATTTTTGATAAAAACTCTCAGCAAAGTGGGACTAGAGGGAATGTACCTCAACATAATAAAGGCCATAGATGACAAATCTACAGCCAACATCATAGTCAATGGTCAAAAACTAAAACCATTTCCCTAAAAACAGGAACAAGACAGGGATGTCCGCTTTCACCACTCTTATTCAACACAGTAGTGTACTGGAAGTCCTTGCCACAGCCATCAGACAGGAAGAAAACATAACAGGTATGCAGATTGGAAAGGAGGAAGTCAAACTGTACATAGAAATCCTTAAAGACTCCACTGAAGTACTACTAGATTTGATAAATGAATTTGGCAAGGTAGCTGGATACAAAATTAACATCTGAAAATTGACAGCATTTTTATACACCAACAATGAACTCTCAGGAAGAGAAACTAAAAAAAAACACAACCATTTACCGTTGCAGCTAAAAAAATAAGATACCTAGGAATAAACCTAACCAAGGATGTAAAAGACCTGTACTCAGAAAACTACAGGACACTGTAAAAAGAAATAGAGGAAGATATAAACAAGTGGTAGAATATACCATGCTCATGGATTGGAAGAATTAATATCATTAAAATGTCCATACTACCCAAAACAATCTATAGATTCAATGCAATCCCTATTAAAATACCAACAGCATAATTCACAGAGCTAGAACAAATATTCCAAAAATTTATATGGACCAAAAAAGACCCTGAATAGCCACAGCAATCTTGAGAAATAAGAACAGAGTTGGAGGAATCACTTTACCGGATATCAAACTATACTACAAAGCTATTGTAATCAAAACGGTCTGGTACTGGCACAACAACAGACATATAGATCCACAGAACAGAACAGAGACCCCAGAAATAGACCCACACCATTATGGTCAGTTAACATTTGACAAAGGAGGCAATAGCATACAATGGGGTAAAANCACAGAACAGAACAGAGACCCCAGAAATAGACCCACACCATTATGGTCAGTTAACATTTGACAAAAGAGGCAACAGCATACAATGGGGTAAAGACAGTCTCTTCGATAAATGGTGTTGGGA